TTATTATTATTATTATTATTAATAATAATCAACAACAAGAGGCTTAAACTCAAGAGGGCTCCCTCTCCTCCCTGCAAGGCAGCGGATCTGATCAGCCTGGACATTCCTGACGGGAAACCTCTTCTGGCTCAGAGTTTTATTACAGCGCCTGCAGGGACCAGTCTACTTATTCCACTCCCCCAGGCTACCAGGAAATAACGCTGGGATAGCTGGCATTCCGTGGGGAATGATTTCAGGAGATGAGCACAGTAACCACAGGGCTTGACCAAGGCTCTGACCTCTCCCCAGTGTCTGTGTGCTTTCCACACTGCAGTGATCACCTCACAGGAACGTGTTCCTCTTCTGCTCTCTATTTCACCCAAGAATCCCCTTTTGGGGGGCCCTGGGCAACAGCAAGGGGGTTGTGGATGGAAGACCCTGCTAACTTCACCGATACCCACGCCCCTCACCCCTGAGGGGACCAGGAAAAGTCCCCCACAGCACAGGGAGAGCCTGCACAGCCCAAAAGCGCTTTGATGCTGATCAAGGACAGCTCCAGGCAATCCCTGCTCAGCCACCCCTGCCTCCCTGCCAGAGAGCTGCTGCAAAACCATCTCCTTACGTGTCATTAGCTATCAAGTCCTCCAGGATCTGCTCTGCAGCCTTTTCTGGAGGCTGGAGGCGGGAGCAAGCCATTTCCATGAGGAATGCCATTTCCATGGAAATTGATTCTCCGATCAGTCGAAGGCACTGGACAAGACAGACAACATCACGAGACATCTCCAAATCTGTAATGAAAGAATCTAACTGTATATTTACAAGAGATTTCAAAGTGCAGGTGGGAGGACCGTTCAAAAACCAGTTAGTTCAGCTCTTATCAGCAAAATACCAGCAGCAGATTGGTCTCAGTCCCGCATGTCAAATTGACCCTTCCCTGCTAACTACAAGGCCAAATTAAAGCTTTGGAGCTGACAAGGGCAAGATTTGGGCTTTATTATTCGGAAAGTAAAAAATAATGATGCAACAATACGACAATGAAATTCCCTCCGAGGGATTTTCTGCAGCCACAGGTTGAAAAGCAGTAATTAGTGCACCTAAGAGCAAAAAAACCCCAGAGCAAAGGGCTCAGAGAGCTTAGCTCCGCCAAGCAGAACACGCTCTCGTCACAGCGGCTATCCATTTGCAGCACTACTGCTCACAGCTGAGAGGATTTTCACATTCTTAGAAGTGATCTGAAAATTCACTACTGAGAATTTAAATCCCTGCTTTGCCACACAACCCTTTATGTACGTGTTTTTAAAATGAAGTCACATATTTTAAGAAGTTTGAAACAGACAGGGCAGGAACTGCCAGCCTCCCAAACCCAGGCCTCCAGCTTTCCTCCCCTCAGAGCCAGAAATAGCTCAACCAAATGGATGACGATTTTTTTCTTTATAAAAATATAAAAAAATCACTCAAGCATGAAAGCAGAGCTTAGGTAACATTTTCCGTTGCCTTTTTTTTGGTGAAACATCATTCCATGGCCAGCAAAGCATAGAGGGCACTGTGGTGACAACATTAACGACAAGTTTTGCGCATGCTGGCACTTGCTTCCCAGAGACAAAAAAAGGCACAGTCCCTCTCCAGTGCTTATGTGAAAACATTTATCCAAAAACACCACACTAAAAACTAAGTTTGCAGAGCAGGGCAGTTGAGCCCAGTGTCCCAGGGTGCTCAGGGGATCACAAGTTTCCTTCTCGTCTGTTATCCCTGAAAGGAGTTTGCTCCATCAGCAAGGTGCAGAGATTGGGGAATTTTATGAGAGAACTGCTCGCACCGAGCCAGAGCAGGTCTCACGGCTCTGGGGGGATGGCAAGGCTGAGCGAGCACCCAGCTGAGAACGTGAAGCGGGGTTTGTATGGGGGGGTCACTCGTACGATCAGAAACACGAGCTGCTGCATCCCGCTCTCCCCACCATGGAGCTCCAGCCCAGCAGGTCTGTCCCACACAGGGCGGGCTTGAGGGCGGCACCAGCTAATCGCAGCTACGCACACAGTCTGTGAGGCCACGAGGACAAAGGACCCACCAAAGCATGTCCTTGTCACCAAGCCTGAATCTAAGATTCTTCCTTTTCAAGGTTTCTGAAACAAGTCCCAGAAGATTTGCAGCCTTGACACCATTTTCTGATTCCTAGTGTGAGCATGATGGCAGGTTTCACAAAATAAAACTCCCTACAGATGCCAAAATGAGAAAACTATCTCCATGGAGATAATTATGGAGTCAGGTACATGTCAAGAGGCCTCTGCGGAAACTCCTGCATCCCTGTCCCCTGGGCTTCCCCAGCATGCAGCATTTCAGCCTCCAGCAATGAAAAGTCTCTACGTCTCCTCACTTACCGTCAAAGATGGCAGCGTCATCCTCCGTCAGGAGGTGCTCGTTAGAGAGCAGATAGAGATGGTCCACCAAGGAGCACGGCACGAAGAACGACAGCGAGCCCTAGAAAGGGGAGAAGAAAGCCCTTCTTTGAGCTCCCCAAATCCACACCTCCATCAGAAAAACTCCTCCTGGAGACCACTGCTTGGGGTGGTCCCAGCGGTCAGCGGCGCTCAGCCTCACCTTCTTGAGCAGGCACACCATGCCCGTGTAGGGGTTCAGGTGCAGGGCCAGTGGCCGGGAAAGCGCTTCCTGGTACTGGAGGCAGCAGGCGTAGAACTTGGACCAGAACTCCACCTGCAGCTGCCAAAACTCCTCCAGCGAGCACTCATATTCTGTCACACTGCCCTGGAACTAGCGGGACCAAAACAGGACTTCAGATGCATGCAGACAGAAAAATTGCAGCGTTTGGACTGTTGTCTCGTCTCTCATGACCCATGTCACAGCTTTGCATGGCTGAGGTTTGTAAACATCGGTTACGCTTCTCTCCCCCACCACTTTACAGTCTAAATGTGTTTTCCTACAGCAGTGAGTCACACAGCAACCAGCCAGGGGAACAAAGGCCACAAGAGCCATTTCTGTACAACCTCAGATAACACAGCACGGATGGCAGAAAGGAAAAGGGCAGTGCTGTAGATCTCTCTAAAACATCACGCGCAACAATTGCTACAGAGGACACAAAACCGCCTTTTTTAATGAACTCAAGGATGAGCCACAGGTAGAAAGACTGCTGGCTTAGAGAATCAGGCGTACCAGAGTAAAATCTGGCGAAGCAGGATCAAACGGGGGAAATTCAGACCCAAAAGGACAGCCAGCAGATCTTTCAGACAGGTTCCCCAAGCAGATTATCTTCTGGTGTCCAAAATTATGAGCACCAGCTCTGCAGGGTGGCGGGCAGCACCCGAAGCCCATGCACGGGGAGCTGAGGACGGATACCACGCGATGCACAAGCACAAAGCATGCTCCACGCAGCGTGCATCCAGGGAGCAGCGACAGCGGAACACCAAGAATGAAGGACTCAAAAAAAGAAGAGGGAATGGAAAAGCCAGGCAGGAAGGATGAAGATTTGTACTTTTTTTAAAAGTAATACAACTCTTGGACAGAAAAAGGACAAAACAAGACCTGGGGTCACTTTGCACCTCATTTAACTTCACAACACTGCATCCAACAGATGTAAGAACAAAACAACACGGGGAAAAAAAAAAAAATCTCACCTCACTTTCCACAGCTAATGTAACTTCTTTTTTTAACTCATCCCATGTCAGATCCATGTGTGTCTCAGTTCCTTGAGAAAAGATCTGAAAAGCAGCAGAGTCAAATGTTACGTGAAGGCAAGCCAGCTGTCTCGCCGAGGGCCAAGCAGCACAGGCTCAAGTACAGCACAACAGCCGCTAACATGCTGCGGTGACCACTGACAGGTCTACAAGCTTTCAAACACAAACTGATGCCCGCCAAGAGCTCCAGGGAATGCTGCTGCCTCACATCTACGTGGCCAGGAAGGAGCAGCTGAGCAGAGCGAGCCCCAGACGCCCCCTCACTAACCTGCAGCGCCTTCTGGATGGCTGCGTTTGTGAACCGGCCGGGCGTGAAGAGATACTCCAGGTAGGTTTCCTGCGAAGAGAACAAACCAGCAATGAAAGGAAACGCAGGTGTCAGGAGGAGAGAGTTTAAGATAACCGCTTCTGGTCCTTCCTCCCATTCTCAAGCTCATCCCCTGGATCCGTTATTCTTTCCAGCTCCAGTTCACGCTCACACCCTGCTCCAGCCTCTCCCCTTCCAACCCCTTCGCAGTTCCCGCGATAGACACTGCTTCCTGCACACTCCACATCTTGTTTTTTCCCGTCTTATCTCAAGGCTCTCTTTCGACTGATGTGAAATTCTCCTCATCCCTCAACCTCTGGTTTCATAACCATGCCTAGTGCCTTCATGCTGTGGCAATAGAGGCTGAGGCTTGTCCCCTTTAATTTGGAGTAATTTTAAGACTGTACCAATATAATTTGTACACTTGAACTGTCTTAATGTTCTCCTCCCAGGCACAGAAGCCTCATTACTTCTCATTGTTATTTTATAGTCGGCTCACCCTGGGGTCCTGATCGTGCCGAACCGTCACTTCCTCTTCAGGCAGCGGCTGCACAAAGACCTGGTTCCACTGGCCCGCGACATTTCTGGAAGAAAAAACCAGAACCAGGTTTGCATTGCAATGCTCCAACACAGCGTGCCCAGGAGCAGCCAGCTGAACCAAACCTGCCCCTTCCACCAGCAAGCGCAGATGTTGCAACCACGGCCCCTCGGACATGGTAACAGAGGAGCTTTGACTGGTGACAAGTGACAGGAGAGCTCAACAGTGGCATCCCCAGCCCTGGGCTAACAGAACAGGTTGGATTCCTCCATGTATATCAACGCTCTCTCATCACACATGCCCACCAAGTGACTCTCTCAGACTGACCAGTAGATTCTTCTGCCAACACCTGCACACCCACAGCACTTTTTACCCAGAATTTAACTCCCTGGCCTGGTTACGCACCAAGCCTGCCCTCTCAGCTTTATAAAGACAGAGCTGATGCTTTCACATCGCTGGTCTCCTCAAAACATCTTCCTTGGAAGAGACCAGCAGGTTAGGTTTTGAAGGAGCTGCTGGTGAAGCACAGCCCTCCCTCTGGCACGCTCCCAGCAAGCCTGCCGCCCAGCTTTTTACATTTTTCACATTCCTGCAGCTGAGCTGTGATTTTTTTATAAAGCAGAACCCCTCAAAAAAAAAGCCATGTAATCTGCACCGCAGGAAGACACAGTTGTGCACGTGACTCAAACACCACAATAGGAAGAACTGGGTATCGCTGCACACTTCAGTCAGAAGCGCAGAAACTCACTGCTCGAAGTTGATGTACTTCACGACGGTCTGGTTCTCTTCGTTGTGCCACAGCGCCCAGATCTCAGCCGAGGTTAAGGCAAAGTCAACGAGAGTCTCCTAGGAGAGCGAGCACACATTTGCCTCCTTATCAGAAACTCAAGGACAGCAGAGAGACCCATGTAGTTAACAACAGCAAAACATTCCCTCATGTCATTTTAACCATGTTTTGGAAAGAATTCTTTATTCCCACTTAAATTCCCAAGATGGGGCCTGTGATCTCTCAGAAAGCCCCCCTCCCTCCCTCTGGTCTCAGGGGGAGCCGGGCCCCAGCACCCACCTGCGAGGAGAAGAGCGAGGAGATGTGGTCAAGGCTGTAGCGGTTGCTCTCGGTGCTCACCAGCTGGAAGACACAGAACTACCAACACCTCTCGTAAGTCATTTGCTAAAGGACGGCTGAGCCAACAACCAGCACGTTGCGGGGAAGCCTGTCTCTCCAGTCCCTCTCCTTGCCTGATGCTACAGTCACCAGACCCCAAAGGGTTGGGGACAGGAGGGCTGAGCTGAGCATGCCACGTGTCCCCAGCCACCAACCCTGCCGAGCTGACCCTCAGCAAGGACACTCATCTCTGCCTGAACCGAGCTGACCTGCAGCTGTTTTTAGCAAAACTAAACCAGAAAAACGGTAACACCTCCACTGCTGGGCGCTGCCAGTGACAGCATGAAGTGGGCAAGTAAGGAGACTGAGGTGGAAAAGCCCTGAATCCTCAGGCCACTCGCTGCAAACCAAGCTCCGAGTGTTCTTATCGGAGCAAGCAGAGCACTAGCGGGACAGCAACAGTTGGGACACGCGCTTCTCCGCAGTATGTGAATCCCCTGGAGAAGGGAAAGGGTGAGCAGCCTCATCTGTTGGACAGCTTTGCCCTGTCATTTCTGTCCTGCTGAATTTATTATTCACTGCACGAAGCTGAAGTTCTCCAGAAGTCAACATCTGGCAACGCAGAGCAATGCGTCTGTGCGCTCCCAGGAGCCCAATATAAATACACCATCAGTATTTCCATGCTTTGAGCTCCTTTCGGACCTTTCCTTTTCCCACGGCACATGTGTACTTTCAGGATCCTACCGGAACAGTTCCACTCCCAAGGCAAGAGCACATGTATCTCACAGTGCTTTGAGAATTAAAATGTTATTTCAGAACGCACTGCTCTCTCCAGAGGGTCAGACAGAAAACTTTTCCCTATTTCTTGCCTTACAGACCCAAATCCAAGGAGGAACTACCCATTTTCCGTGCGCTCACAGCGAGGCAGCCCTGTCACTCCGTACCTGCCCCCGCTTGGGCGCGTGCATGTACACGCCAAGGTACAGCCCCAGGGACTGTGAGAAGGCCAGTCGCAGTCGGTGCCCGGTCCCGGCCGCGAGCCGCAGGTCCTTGCTGACCGGCATGAACTCCAGCAGATCCGCAACCATCAGGCACATTTGGTCCTATACAAAACAAAGGGATCAGGAAAGCAGCTCAGGAAAGACTGAGGACTGAGAAACTTCCCTTCTCCCTCCTCCTTCCCTTCCTGGCCAAAGCCTGCCCAGATCTTCCCCTATCGGATGCGAGTGAAGCATCTGTAGGTGTACCTGAGCCACCGTTCAGCTTTCCCCGTCCCACCTGTGCCCTCTCCCACCGAGCACACGGCTTTCGAGGCCCGGGCATGGCCGATAAACCTGCCCCTCCCTCCCGCAACACACACATTCCAGCGCAGATGAGCCGTGAAAGCGGTTGCACTGGTCGATTAGCTTTGGCTCTGAGATTTGGAGCAAGTGGCACGCAGCGAGCAGAGGCTTTCATTAACTTCTTGTTGACGAGGAGCCGTGTCACAAAGACGCTCTTATTATCGCAAAAACAGCAGAAAACCCATCAGGAGTGCCTCCTCAGCCCTTTCAGCGCTCCTGCCGGCCTTCCCGAGTTTGTACATAACCCAACACTGCCTCTTACCCCTCGGACGAGGCTTCGTCACAGAGAAGACCCACCGCCCGCTTTCCAAACATGGCTACAAACACATGCCACAACAATCTTCCCAAATTGTCCTGAATACCAGCGTGTGGAAGTTCACTCAGTGATAATTTAACGGCAGATCAAATCTAGGCCAACCACCCGGCCGTTGCTTCTGCAGCCTCGGATATCACCCAAGCAGCGATGGAAGATGCTACGCCCCCGAACGCAGGCTTCGCTCACCTTATAGGACCACATCCGAAGTTTGTGGTCCTGGCAGAGGGCAAAGAGAAAGGCATCGTGATCCACGCAGTGAACGGAGAGGCTGACGGGCAGGTCCGACGGGCCGCAGTCACCTCTGAAAATAGAGGGTTTATTGCAAGAGGTTAAAAGTAAATCAAAGCCAGCGCACAGACTTGAGATGTGGGGTTTCTATCACACTGTGTTTAAAAAACCACCAATCAGTGGTGTGAGACCAGGAGAGTGCAGTGTCTCAGGACTGCGTGTCAGTGTGGAAGGCACAGAGGAGCCACCCACACGCCCAACGTCCTGTTCTTCACCCTTTTGGCACAGCCAAAACACATCCCCGGCTTCCTCAGCCCCAGCCTGGCGCTTGCAGAACGCAAGATCCAGAGGGAAGCAAGGATCCGACCAGCCCCAAGCAACACACCGCTGATGGGCAAAATCCCTCAGGGCACCAGGGATTCGCTCCCATTTCCAAGTAACAGGGCCCAGAACGTGCTTGTGCGCTCTAATACACCCTGAGGATTGCAACCCACCACCGAGCCCAGCCTGCAGAGTGTCTGTGTCACCCACACGTAACCCCCGCCGGTCAGGACCGAGCCTGACACCTCAGAGCAAGGGCAAGAGCGTACAACTGCTGCAATCCTTAATCTGCGCTGGCTGCGAGCCATATCCTGGGCAAATCCTTGGAGGCCAATTACTAGATACAGCAGAGTCGTAGCCAGAGACACGGAGAAGCAGCAGGACCCCATGAAGATGAACTAATCCCGCGTTCAAGCCCCAACTTCCGTACTGCGAGAGGTCCTGTGACCCAGTTAACTTTTTTGGCAGAGTATTTATAGACGCTGACTTGCCTGTCTTTGACTCTAGCTATAAACTCTACGTGAGGGAATCAAAGAGACAAAATTAGTTCCACTTATTCATCGCCAGACACTAACCTGATGGCAGTTGGCATCCAACCGGTGAGGAAACGCTGCACCACTGAGCTCTGTTTCAATTCCACAACCGAAATTGTTCCTTTCAAAATAAAAGCGATACTAAGGAATATATTCAGCACTCGTCAATATTTCCTGCTACCAGCAAGGGGCTTCCCAGGCAGGATGTAAAAGAGTTTTTGTGTGTGTGGAGTGGATTTGTACGACAAATTCACACCAAAAGTCAAACTCAAGCGAAGTTCAGAGATAGTGGGTGCCACACCGAGCGGTGTTTTGCAGAGGCAGACGCGAGGAGGCAGCCTGCTCCTGCTCCTTACCAGGCGCGTCGTGAGGAGGCAGCTTAAGGACGAAGATCCCTCCCAGAGCAGAGGGCAGAGCGAAGAGAGCCTCCCCCTCGCTGCTGAGCCATGCCGCCGAGGCAACGGAATTGGAGGCCAGGCCTGGCACGCTGGGAATCAGGCAGTAATTTGAAGGATCTCTGAAGTTGATTTTGCCGATATCTGTAAACACGGACTGCATCTGGCTCTCGGTTATCAGCTCCTGGAGGAGGGAGAGAGCAGAGAGTACAAATCCTGAGCACACATACAGCAGCGCTGTCCCTTGGGAAAGCTGTCCGGAACTGGCTAAGCTCTCCAGGAGAGAAAAGGGACCTGACATATGCCAGAAGCAGATGGAGAAGAAAAGGTCAGAGCAAATGGGTAAACGTGATGTGAATTCTGCATAAGATCCATCCTCCACATGAAATGAAAAGATTCTCTACCTCGCTGCGTACAGAGGGTGAGTTACAAACGCAGCCAGGCCTCCCTCGGAAGCACTTGGTCCCTACTCCCAAGGGTACTTTGTCCCCATTGTCACAAGGCCAGGCCCCAGGACCGCTGCTGGCACAGCCTCTTCCAACCTCCAAGCCTCATTTCAGGCGAGGTCACCAACTCCCATCACAATCACAGCCCTGTGCACAAATCTGAAACTCTCCCAGCCTTGGGGCAAACGCTGCAAGTCTGACGTGTGCAGCCTCTGCCTCCCCAACGTGCGGTCGGAGCACATTCAGCTCCAGAGAGATTCCCGGCTTGCTTTTCCTACCCGACCGCTTTTCCCAGCGGTTTTCAATTCCACACAGAGAACCACCCCGCACTGATGAACACACCTGCTGCATCCAGACAAGAATCACAGGAGTTTAGGAGTTTATAACATCTATAAGGAAATTTACCTATAAAAGTTTGGACAGTAAGAAAGGCAAGTGCAGAGTTTTCCACAAAATTCAGGAGAGACTGAGAGGCTCCAACTCTGTGTCTCTGGAAACACCAACAGGTTCCAGCCTGGGGTACAAACCCCCATCAGGAGCTAGGAAACAGATCAGCCGCGGTGGGGTGACCCAGCTGGCAGGTAACTGTCCCCAGCTGTGCGCCTCAGCTGGGCGGGGGAGAATAAGAGCAGCAAAAGCCCGTGGATCAGGATAAAAGTGGTTTAATCAGCAAAGAGGAAGGAGAAGAAAAAACCAAACCAAGCGATGCCAAGGCAACCCCTCACCACCTCCTCCAAGCAGCCTGATGCCCAGCCAGCCCCCGAGCAATGGTCAACTGCCCCAATTCTGTCCCCACTGTGTCCCTTCCCAGCTTCCTGCCCGCCCCAGCCAGCTCGTTTGGGGAGCAGAGAAATAGAGAAGCCCCCTCCACTGGGCAGGAACACAGCACCAGGAGAGCTGCTGCGAAGAAAACCAACTCCATCCCAGTTAAAACCAGTATACAGTCTGCTCAGCAGGGAAAACAACCCACACAGCTGTACACTCAGTCTCTCCCCCCAAGTGGGATGGGGGAAGAGGAAAGGAAGAATAAAAGTGAGAAAATTTGGGGGTCAAGATGAGAAAATAGTAGCTTAATAAGCAAAAGACAAGAGGAAGAAAAGAGAAAAAAACAAAACAAGGGACACAAAGGCTGGATAGATCGACACTCAACCAGCTCCGGAGTTAAAGATGGTTAATGTCACGCCCCCCCCACCCCAAAAACTGTCTTTTGCCTCTTACTGCAAAGCAAGGAACATCTCTTTGGTTAGTTCAGGTCACTTGCCTGGTTCTGCCCCCTCCCAAATCATGCACACCCCCAAACCCATCCACCTGGGGGGCAGAGCGAGAAACAGAGGCGGCCCCAAGGCTGTGCAAACACTGCTCAGCAAAAGCTAAATTATCAGTGTATGGTCACAAACCCAACCCATGGCACCACACAAACCACTCTAACAGAAATTAACTCTGTCACGGCCCAAATTAACCCTGTCACGGCCAAAAGCAGTACAGGAGGGAAGTAGCACGTTGTGCCCACGCTGAGAAGCACCCTTGTTATTTCACAACGTGCCCAACAGCTTCGCTGAGGGGTCTCAATGGACAGAACGGAGGCAGGCGGTGGACATAGGCCCAAGGAGCAGTCCAGCCGGGTACTCACGCTGCGATAGACGCGGGCAGGATGCGGCAGGAGGAGACGATGCACCGTCTGCCTGGTGATCAGCATGACGACCAAGTGACTTTGCACCTCACAGATGTGAACGCCACCCGGTAGAAACGGGCAGCCCTGAATGCGAAGGCGTACAGAGTTGTTCAACAGGTTGACATCCAGAGATTCCTCCACCAGCTCCACAGTGTCGCCTGATGTGGTCCTGAGGGAAAAGATGGGGGGAAGGTGTGAGAACCGGGGGAGATGTGAAGCAGGGGGGATCAACG